ATGTAGGGAAAATTTCTTTCTTTATATTTCTTTGTGCTATATTATAAAACAAATATAAAACTTTTTTCCTTATTGATATACAGAAATATCAACACTTGTGGAAATTGGGAAAACTCGAAATTGTGTGAAAACACTCCGCCCTTCGGACGTCTTGTTTCCACACAATTTCTCGTTTTCCCAATTTCCACTCGTGTTGATATAACAGTATATCAACACGGAAAATGTTTTATATTTGTTAATTATAAAACATTTTCTGGGTTGATATACAAAGGAGTGGAAATTGGGAAAACGAGAAATTGTGTGGAAACACGACGCCCGAAGGGCGGAGTGTTTTCACAGAATTTCGAGTTTTTCCAACTTCCACGAGTGTTGATATCAACACGGAAAATGTTTTATATTTGTTTTATAAATATAGAAATATCAAAAGCCCGAAGAATAAGAAAAATTTCCGTGTTAACAAGCGGCGGAAAACTTCCCGTGTTGACATGGAGTTATATCAACACGGCTCTTAGCCATGAACAATCATAGCCTCCTCCGCAGGCATCTCGTTGTTCACGTGGTTAAAAATTATTGATTCAACAAAAATCTGGCCATACTTCTTTGGACTTTTAACCAGGAAAATGGTTTAATTTTTTTAACCAGGATTGTGTAGGTGTATTTTTAACCCCATCCTGGTTGAATTAACCCAAATTTAACCAGAGTGTTTTTAGAGTGTAATCTTAATCTTGCTATTAAGTGTCGCACATCACTTGAATTGCACTGGCCCAGAATTTTTTTTAGCTATGATGCAGCATTATGGAACTCACTGCCATCTGAGCTCCGCTATTTGTCTTGCATGAACACCTTTAAACGAAGTTTGAGAAGCTATCTTAGTAGTTGCAGGCTTAGTTAACTATATATATATTCATGTAAATAACAGTATATTTTATAATTGTTATATCTTTGAAAGGGGAACCTAACAAATCTTATTGTCAGTATTGTATTCGGTATTGTTTTGTTTAATTGTTTTGTATTGTATATCTCTATTATATTGCTCAAATGATTATCTAATACCATGACACATGGCAGCTGCATGCTCAAAGTTTGGAGTTGGTGATCGTAACGCATTATTATTAACACAAGTGATTTAATTGATTTTACAGGGAAATCTATCGTAAAGGGTATGCGAATTTTTTTTAAGGAGGAAGTTCAATCATGTTCCAAGATTGTTGTGAAACATTGTCAAATGTCAACCTGCCAAATTTGACCCAAAGACCAAAGCTTCAAGCTAGTTTCTGAATGACAGGATAGATAAAACTTTTCAAGTTAATTAAAAAATATGGAAATTGGAGCACAAGAAGCATGCTCATTGCCTCCCGTTGCGATAGAATGACCTAGGTCAGTCTCACTCAGTCACATGCTAATAGAATATGAATATTCAAACATAGACATTTTAGGTTATCAAACATGGACATGGTTGATTGCCCTCTATTTGTGTCAATTGTGTACTATTATCCGCTTGACTGGTGATTTGTTGCAAAGTTATGCAAGAATTTTCGGTTGTGGTGCAGAGCTCATTCGAAGCATGACTGTGTTGTTGCGAGAATGTTGAGCGATGGAGTTAGAAAATAACGATGTGTTTATGAACACCAGACAGAACTGGATATATTTCCTAGTTCATCCGCAAGATGATGTCTTGGATATTTCAAACGAAGATGAGATAACGGATTCTTGTAGCAACTCGTGTGTGTCATTCATCGATGAAACAATCCTACCAAAACACAAGAACTTGCCCAAATTCTTTGCCCAGAGACTGTCTCGTATGGCAGTAACTTTGGCCGCTGTAACGTTAGCAGTGACATTGGTGATCGCTTCCTTGGCCTTCGCTGCTTCGCAAACAGCAGCAAGTGCGGCCGCCTTTGGTTTCGGATTCGATTCCATATTCACATCGCTGTCTTCGTTTTTGATAATATGGCGTTTCTGGTCTATTAATTCGAGCGTGAGCGAAATTGCGAGAAAGGAAACACTAGCGACTATCGCTGTTGCTTGCAGTATGGTTGTTAGCGCAGCGTGTATATTTGCACGTGCTTTTCAATCGGTCAAGGGTGGCGAGCGACCTACAGAAATGGTTTTCGTTATAGCGGTGGCAAGCAGCAGTGGGGCGGCGTATTTTGTCTTGTTCGTGGCGAAGTACAGAGTAGCTTGCCGAATGGGCAGTGCGGCGTTAATGACGGACGCTATTGACGCGTTCAGTGGCGGGATACTTGCACTAACATTGGTTATTTCTTCGTCGATTTTAAAATATTCTCGAACAGTGTGGTTTTTGGATTCCTCAATTGCGATGGCCATTGCTGTGTTTTCGATGTGTTATGGCGTCACTGTGCTCGTTCGAATGATCGCAGTCTACAGAGATCGCGAAATGGCCGCGACAGCCCAATATTATGTCGTAGACAAGTTTTAAATGTTACAACAAGTATAACTTGTTAGAATTTCATAGAAGTTAGAGCAACTCTTAGAGCCAATTTTAAGGCTTGTGGCTGTGCATATTAGCCCAGTAACTGTGAGGTCTCGCCCAGTTTTCAATCAGTACCCCAAGTATAACTTCGTTAGAATTTCACAGACGGTTAAGGCTTGTTGCTGTGCGTATTGGCCAGGTTACTGTGAGTCTCGCCCAGCGTATAATACACGCAAAAAACCTACTCATTTTAGGGGTACTGCGTCTCCCACGTTTGAGAGTCTCCGCAACACGAAATGCGACTTTTTAGTATTATAGAATATAGTTGTTTGTATAAATGGTAAATTTACAGTTGCAAGTTTTAAAAATCGTTTTCCACGTTGTTTGAATTGTCTAGAATCTTTCACGGAATTTACGAGGGCAGACAGTACCCCGAAAATGGCGGATTTTGGCTTTCGTGAGAAATGATAATTGAGTAGTTTTGCATAAAAAGTTGAGTGAAGCACAGATCAAACCAGTACGAGAGTAATCACACGACTTTGATTAACTTTTCCTAATCAGTGCTTCCCAACATGATAAAATAATATTTTGTTAATCTAGAACTTGAAATGTCTCCTGTAACAATTCGTGACAGCCAATTATTATCAACTCTCATCATCATGGGCTCAATATTGTAATCCCTCAAAACAGTATTGAGGAAAATTACTTATGAGCAAATTAGTAATTTATGAGGAAATTTACTCTATTGTTTAGCAATTGAATCACTCAAAAATTGGAGTAAATTTTCTCATAAAATTTCAGTAATTTTACTCAAAATTTTCAGCAACTGTATGTGAGCCCATTATTATACTCAAGTTTGTCAGTTACAATACTCGTGTTTTTAGGATTTTAAGCTGTTGGCGAGTTTCGCTGAGGGTAACAAACAAAGACTTCGCCTTCGGGACTCGTTTTGTCTACGTTTTGAACTTCGTGTGTCTATGAGCTATGTTGGCCACCATGCATGCTCTGTTATTCAAAATCGCAACAAAACTGCTTTCAGTGCGTGTTAGCCAAAAAGTTCACTGTCACTGACACACTCTCTTGTGTTTTGTAAGACTTACGCCTGAACATTTTAAATTAGCATGCGTTGAAATCAGTTTCGTTGCGATTTTGTTACTCGTATATTCGCTTCAGAATTTAATAACTTAATAAGTCACAGTTACTGACTTTTGATATTGATCCTACGAATTTGTGTTTAGTTTTTATCGGAGTGTAAAAAGACAAATTAAAATGCAAGAAATAACCAGTCTCTATGTTAATAACCAGAGTTTAGATGCAGCATTTTCTTATTGTCAAACCATTCCAATTTTTTGCAATCTTAATCCAACCCACTTTACAATTACAAAACTTTCCACTTCCGATTTCCGTAGTCTGATGTCATTCACTGCATGTCGTCTAGTACTAAATTATGGCACAGAGTTTCCCCCCATAATCAGTCGATGGCTACTTTAATAACAGTAACAGATTACACTACATGACAACGGCTAAACACACGAAGTGGGAAGGTCTTGTATTTTGATTGCATTTAATCCAGGGCCATCTTTAACGCATTAAGCTGCAATGCGCCCTAATCGCCCACTGTCTATTGTCTAACGCCAGACGACTTTAATCTTCAAGGGGAGAGCACTGGGGCTCAATGGGTTGATCAAACTATCTGCCCATGTGTCTATAGTTAATCAAGTTGCTTTGCTCTCTACTATATTATTTTACTCTGCCTCTACCACCAGACGATTTTACTTGTCAAGTGGAGAGCGCTTGCACTCAATGTGGTAACCTAGAAATATCCTGTTTGCGGTTAACTCAATATTCCAAAAGAAGAAGATATTTTCGAGAGTTGATTGCAGTTTCAACTACCGCTCGCAGTTTCAACTATCGCTCGCAGTTTCAACTACCGCTCGCAGTTCCAACTACCGCTCGCGTAAATGAGATTTGATGTGAGCTTTTGCGCAGGTACTATTAAGTCAACCCAAGATTGAGAAGTGTTGTTCAGTGTTAAATTGGCATAATGTACGGTCAAATTTCCCATTGTCTTTCATTGTTTCACGCACTTTTGAGGAGCATTTGAAAATTCCGAATTCAGGATCCGAGGAACATTAAACACTTTTCCCAATGAATCAACTCTCAAGCAACTTTTGTTCTCGTTTGCCGTTTGACATTAGTTTTAAAAAGCTATGAAGCAAATTCTTAACACCTTCCATATGTTCTAAAATCTTTCATGCAGAATAAAGAATGCTTTTTAATAGTTTGGTATCTACTTATGAGATAATTTGATGATAATTTGGTTAGCCAAAAATAGTCAGAACAATGTGTGACCACACAGCGTGGAAATAAGTGGGCTTGAAGACAAAGTCAAAGACCTTCGTTCTGCTCCAGTGATATGCAAAGTACTTCAAATTAAGTGTCTTGGCCAACAACAAAATACCTATTGCAAGATTTGCTTGTCTCTCTGATGTTGTAGAAACTACTTAAAGGGAAATATAGCAATAAAAGTTAAGTTTCCCCCATTTGAAAGAGTGATTCAATAGTAAAAGATGTTACCCTTTATTTCAAACAAAAACGTATGCATTCCACGCCAGTTGGATATGACCATGACGTCACAACCGGGTTAAAATTATTTTGTATCCGCAATCGTCGACACAAAAGGGCAAGTGATGAGATTCTTTTGTGTAAATGTCCTCCATAAATGTACGGACAGTTTTGGCTAACGTTAGTTTATACTCAATTCAGTGAATTCACAACTTTAGATAATTCACATTCTCACATGCCAAATTATCATTGTTCTACAGTAGAGTACAAACTAAAGTTTATAATTTTCTACATGAATAGCTCTCAATGCAATAAGGGTATTTTGTACATAACTTTAATAATGCTTAAGGCCCTGTTACACGGTACAATTTTTCATGCAACTTGTCTTGCAATGGCGTTGCGAGACAAGTTGCACGAGTCATTGCACCGTTTAACATGCCTTGCAATGGTCAAAATTGTTGCGAGACAAGTTGCATGAAGCATTGCAGAGAGTAGAAGTCGGTTCTACTTTTGGCAACGATTGCACTAATTATTTTAAGCGTTGCAGCGTGTAACATGGCTTCGTGCAACTTGTCTCGCAATGTTTATAGCTTGGAGAGTTCCTATTGGCTCTCCCCAGTACACGCTTTACTTTAATTAAAATTTGGCGCCAAATAGCGCCCCTCCCTAGTCTCTTCGCATGCCTTTGTCCCCTATCGTTGCGAGTTGCATGAAAATCATTGCAGCGTGTAACACCTCTTGCAATGCATTATCAAAATCTTTTTATAAACATTGCGAGACAAGTTGCATGAAAAATTGCACCGTGTAACAGGGCCTTAAGTATAGGTTATTTTGAGGCGCGCAGCGCCGAGGTGAATAATTAACACATATCCCCGAGGTGCCTCAAAATAACGTACTTATTTTTCACATTGTGAGGTCGCCTTTATGAGTAGAAATAATTATAATATAGAAATAGTAGAAATATAGAAGTAATTCTTAATGCCATATTGCCTTTGTTATGTTGTTTTTTTCCTCATTTTTTTGTGCTTTAAAGACATTACAGGTGAATATTAGAGGGGATTATTAAACGGAAATTGATTAGAGGGGAATATTGAATATATATATTCCCCGATAAGAACAAAGGAAACCGAGCAGGGTGAAAAATAATTACTTTTGTTCTATTCGATGCTTCTGTAAAGTAGAACAATAGTATTAACTAGGCATGTGAGTTAGCTACAGTTGTGAATTGGGTCAGGCAACGACCTAAACAACGTCAGGAACTTTTTTAAAAGACCATATGGAGAAATAAACAGGTTGTTGCCTATTTGGTGACAGAAAGTTTGATGTGTAGGTGGGTCTGGGGCATTCTCCCCCAGAATTATAGTAGGTGGGTCTGGGGGCATTCTCCCCCAGAAAGTTTTCGTATTTTTCCACCCCTAGCTAGATCTGCATTTCGTCCGTGTTCTGAAACAGATTCTTGGATAAACAGTGTTAAATAATATTGTAGACTGAGGCCTGTTTCAAACCGTCGTGCTTCTCATGTGCCGAATGCATTAGACACAATAGATAATGAGGCATTTCATCTGATTATCTATTGTTTTTAATGCGATCGGCACATGAGAAGCGCGACGATTGAAACAGGCCTGAATCTTCAGTTAAATATACTGTGTAATATGGGGGCTTTTGCCTCCCAGTTATAGTTAAAAAAGGCCCAGAACAATGTCAGCCAAATCTGTCTATGTGTATGGGTCATTTTTGCTATATTTTAATTAAAGCTAAAATTTTAATTTTTCCTTGCCAAGGAGCCTTGTTCCAAAGCTAATCATGTCAGCTTTTGGACAAGGGAGATTAATGTGTTCGTTTGAACGGCCGCCAAGGAAGACTTGACACTTTATACAAGAAATACTTGTATGGTTTTAGCAAACAAAAGGTGGTCTTGACGTGAGATAAATCACGGTGGTCCGTGACGTGGGCAACAAAACCTGTCAAGGAAAACTTGTCAAGGAAAATTTGTCAAGGAAAATTTGTCAAGGAAAATTTGTTGACGTACGCACGAGAATGCATAAAACTTGTCAAGGAAACTTGTCAAGGAAAACCTGCTCGTCCATAAGGTATGGTTGGTACTATTGCCATTATTAGAACTTTAAATTAAATGACATACTCAACGGAATACTCTAGCTATGTATCTATCTTTGACTGTTCATGCTTAGACGCAAGTGACGGTTTCTATATCTTCTAGTGTCATCCACATCCAGTACGTATTCACTATGCAGGTCAGTGGATACTTCCAAAAATGGCGGTCTCATAGTATAAAACAGCGTCCGTTGGTTACGGCAATTTTATTTTACTTTCCCTTTTATTTTCAACGTTTTACTGATGGAGTCGATATCGAACTCGATGACGGACGACGATTTGAGTCTTCCTATCGATTTCAACTTAACGTATGTCAGCTAATTCATACTCTTTTGACGTTGTTGGCATTTGAGGCTTTTGAGCACGACAGCAGCTTGGCTGCTTGACAGGTTGCATTTTTGTCAAATGTGACATGTTGACATTTTAAAGGCTAAAGGTTAAGAAGCGCAGAGCACGGTTAAGCCATAGCAACAAATGACAACAATTCTTTACATTTTGTAGCACCCAAATTCCCCGAGTCATGGAAGGGACGTCCATGAATGAAAGCATGGCCCCTGGTGAGTATTTTTGCGTGTATTTCAATATATTGTTACGGGACGTCGAAAAACAGCGTCGTCTATCTCTCAAACTACTGTATATATTTTCATGATAATTCTTAATCTATTTCCTTTACAAGTATTATTATAATTCTTCTCAAAAACTAGAAAATTTCTGTATTGCACATTGTATCTATTACTGACCTATTTAATACACCATACTTCGCATGTGTAGAATTCAAATATTCAATTCAGTACGGTGTCACAGTGATATGTGTATCCCCATGCTCTGTGTATCCCCATATTTATATCATATTTGTATCCCCAGCAAATATGGTGGCCGTGTTTTGAGTATCCTGTATCCCTACCTACAGTACCACAGGAAAATTTTAGAAATAGTGGAAAATTTCCACTGGCAACAAGAAGAGGAAATAGGAAATAATCACTTCATATATGATATTGAGTAATTTGAAAATTAGCTGTCACAATTTTACATTACTTTATGCATTACCAGGCTAATAGGCAATTTTTCAGCAGAGATTGCTATTTAAGGCAACATGCAACAACTGGTTAAGATTGAAAACATCTGTGGAAGTGAAAATTATATTGCCTTTTGAAATGAAAAGCACCAAAACAAGGCTATAGTCAGTCTTCTTTGCTGAATTTAGCAGAAACTCTAAACTCATCCATTTGTTCACAGAGAAAAATTGCACCTGAGGCCATTCCAAATGAGATTTTAGTTTCCAGTCCAGACTATCTTCATGTAAGCATGCACTGAGGACGAGTGGTCCATTATCATATGTTATCAGAATTTATCGAGAAATGCTATAATTTTGCCATTATTTGAACTCAGGATAGGCCAATGTAAAAATTCTTGCAGTATTCATTACAATAAACATTTATATAATAATCATCTGCTTTTAAGAACATTGCAAGGAATTAAGGAATAGACAAAACAGAAACATTTAACACCATCCCATATTTCCATCCACACTGCAGAGATCAGAGTTTAATTAATATCAATAATGGTTCTAAGAAGTCATAATTTAAATATTTTCTTGTACAATCCCAAACATCTATTACAAAGCAATTGATATTTTAAGATATCACTAATGGGAAAGTCACATGGCCTCTTTGTGGAGGCTTGGACAGTGGACATATAGGGAAATAAAGTCTAATTTGGCATGGCCTAAAATTGTAGCAAAATTTGCAAGTGTAAACAGGTGTTACGACTTGCCAACTGCTTACGTTTTACTATTGTTCAAACTGCTTGACCCAAATTAAAACAAATTATGAATTGGGAATTTTTAACCCATTAATTAAGTTGCATTGCATCCCAATGTGCCTTAGCTGCATTATTCTTTTGATCTGTTTAACAACAGATGATATTACTTAATTGTCATATGGAGAGTGCTGCTGCCACTCAATGGGTTAAATATCAGACTATCTGCCAATGCATTCTGTTCCTTTAAAGGGATATGGCAATATAAAGTTTGTCTTATTTGAAATAACATTTAAAATGATATATAAAGTAACTTCCTTTACAATTATTCCGTATCTTGCTTCGTTTTCAAAATAAATCGACTTATTTTGATCAAAAGCAGCGTGCATTCCGCCATCTTGGATATGCATTCGATATGCATACGTCACAAGTAGGGTAAAAGGCGAAATTTTTATCTTGCAAACCACATGTCATTAATAAAACTTGATTTTCTGCAGTCTTTTTAGTACTCAATTAACTCACAACATTTTAAGAAACTTTTCGAAGAAATTTAATCCCACATGAAGAAATTTTAACAAGTTTACCGTGCTTTTGACGTTATCAAAAACTCAGTTAATTAGGTCAAATATAATACCAAGATGGCAGACTGCATACTGTTTTTGGTCAAAATATTTCGAAAACCAAGCAAGTTACGAGAAAGTTGTAAAGGGTCTTCATACATAACTTTAAAAGTTCTTTCAAATAAGACAAACTTAATTTTTGTTGCCATATCCCTTTAAGCAATGTGCCTTAGTTGCCAAGGGTGGGTTGACTACAAAATTTTTGTAGTTTGCTATAACTACAGCTACTTCAAAAATGTGTAGTCAGCTACAACTACTGCTACTTTTGAACAAAGGTAGTTAGCTACTGACTACAGCTACTGCTTAAAGAATGTAGCGAACTATTTCGCTAAGCTATATTTTTTGGTTTTACTGTATTTGGAACATCTACTAACTCAGGCTGAAATGTAACCTATAACAAATCGACTTACGAGTAGCAACAGTAAACACAAAGCAACATTTCTGCAAGCACTACAGTGTTCAAGAGTGCAAATTGACTATTCAGTATTGATTTTAAATTAAGCAAACTGTGTCTCAATATCATGCTATTCTATCAAATTGCTAACAATTTTAAAAAGTAGCGAATAGCGATTTGCTGTTTGAAAAGTAGTCAACTACTTGGCTACTTTTAGACAAAATGTAGTTCGCTATAACTACAGCTACTGTTTTAAAAAAGTAGTAAAAAACTACTGGCTACTTGAAAATTGTAGTTCGCTACAGTAGCGAACTACAACTACTTCGCTACTACCCACCCTTGTTAGTTGCATAATTTTTTTGGTCTGTTTAACACCAGATGATATCACTTAATGTATCACCAATGTATCCTGTTAACCCTTTAAGCAGAAATGCACCTGAAGATGCCCTACTTTATTATTTTCCATTTAAAGTATAAATGATGACAAATAAAAACTTTGTCGTTTTCTCATGTGAAAATTTGATTTTTATAAAATAATGAGCATTCGAAAGTGTGTGGCCACTTACGCAGTGGAATCCTGTTATTAATACATAGTGGGCTCCATGGTGTAGATTGCGTTTTGACCAAAATGTGGCCTTACAGTACATCAAAAAGTTGTATTACCAGAGGTGTAGGAAGTTTGATAAACTTGTTACCAAAACCATGGATGCTTCCTCTTGCCCGCGATCATTATTAGCCAATATCCGAGCAACTGCACAGTTGATTGGACATTTGTCAGATTGAAGTGAAATTGTAATAATAATAATTCACACTGCTTTTAACCATCACAGGTAAATTCTCTGAAGTACATACCTTAAAAGATCATGAAATGGTAAGTAATTATGCCATGATACTGGTACCATACCACATCATAACATACTGCACAACATACCATACAATATAACATACCATATACCATAACCATACAATATCGTAACATGCCATGTCATATAATCAGGCTTTTAGCCAGAAGGGCGTCCTGGGACGGCCCTAGAACGAAAAATGGATGCCTTTGGACACCCAAATTCTGGGGAAAAAGGGAAATTATTTTCAATTATTTCCCTGAGTATATTAATATATCTGAAACGAAATAGCTTCAATTCTCATTATCAGGGCTGCAAATTACTGTCGGACATCGGACAATGTCCGATTAAATTTGGCGAATGTCCGACCAAAAGTAATTTTGATCGGACATTGGTCAGATCACAAAAAAAATTGTCACATACATTTTTTTGCTGTGACAAAATCTGATTGCAAATTCACTCAATTTGCATTTTGCAATAAAATTTACAAGGCATTCTAGCATTTTACTTATAACGTTGCGCCGGAATGGCTATACACACTTGTCTTGTGACTTATATAATATCTTGTGATGTATATATGTCCGACCAAATTTAGTAGTGTTGGTTTTTGTCCGACCAAAATTAAAAGTGATCGGACAAATGTCAACTAGTCAAATATTTATTTGCAGCCCTGCGTTATCATTATACAGTTGACATTTTGATCAATTTGATGGTGTACCTGGCTGAATGAAAATGTTATTATTATTATTTTAAATGCAGTTAAATGCAATTTAACTAAGTTAACAACAAAGAGCGCAGTGAGTGTGTTAGTTTGTATGGTCAGTGATTTCTGGCATACCAGCATGCGCATCGCGATAGTAGGTCAGCAGCTGTTAGGGTTTGAGCATGCGCAAACAACAGGCACGCATTGTTCGGAAATCCTTCTAGGCTTGGGTGCTTATTATCGGAAGTTCGTATTTTTTTTTATTTGTTATTATTTTTTTTTACTATTTTTTTTATTTATTTATTTATTTATTTTTTTTTCCCACTGACCCAGTCAGTGTGACAGGTGCTTGGGCCTGGTGTGGGGGCTCATGGCTGGGTTGCAGGAACTGCAAGCCATGAGAGTGGTATGTTTGTCTGAGGGCTGGCTTTGGAAGTGGAAGCCCCTGGATGACCCAGGCACCCGTAAAGAAGCATAGCGGCACAAAATCACTAAGCCAAGTGTGTTTGAAAAATTTCGAACAAGCTTGGAACAGATACTGACATGAAGTAACGTTAGTAAATTTTAAAGGTTTTCCAGAGGAACATTTTCTTGAACACCCCCCTCCCCCCCTCTTTACTGTAGATGTTTCGTTATACCAAAATTGGATGCCCTCTTAGCCTAGGACCCTGGCTAAAAGCCTGCATATAATAGTTGAAGAGTTTTGTAGATGGAAATTTCAAGCAGAAGATTATGTACAATTTTTGGACCTAATAGACAATTCCCATTATAGACTAATTTTAAAACAAGGCAAGTAGACTCAAATAAATCACAACAGCTAAAAAAAAGCATACTAAAATTAGTAAGTGTGCAAAGTTTGGTTTCGAAATGTTGTAACATGCGGAAAATATAGCCTTGCAAAATTCGCATATTTTGTATACTTTTGTATTGCGTGCGGAATTCCTACCACATTCCTACCACATTTTGGCCGAAAATGGTCGCACGCAATACAAAAGTATACAAAATTTGCGAACTTTGCAAGGCTATATATTTCCGCATTTTACAACATTTCGCAACCAAACTTTGCAAATTTACTAATTTCAGTATGCTCTTTCTACCTGTGGTGATTTATTTGCATCTCCTTCCCTAGTTTGAAAATTAGTCTATAATGGGAATTGTCTATTACCAGGAGCAGCTGTAAAAAATGCAATACTATAGATCCCCTGGTAGGAATTGAACCTGCAGGTTACAGTAGGTATCACAACCAGGGCTGCAAATAAATATTTGACTTGACAGGACATTTGTCTGATCACTTTTAATTTTGGTCGGACATACTGTAACTTGAATTTGGTCGGACAAAAACCAACACCACTAAATTTGGTCGGACATCTACAGTATACGTCACAAGATATATATATAAGTCACGAGACAAGTATGTATAGCCATTCCGGTGTCGCAACGGATACTGTCCCCCGCAGAAAGTGTCCCCCCGGACACTATCCGCTAGCAGATTACAGTATGTTCCCCGGACACTATCCGCAGCGGATTATATGTCCCCCCGGACACTAGCGGATTGTGTCCCCCTAGCGGATACTGTCCCCCAAGAAACTACTGATATAAGGTTTAGCTTCTGGGTTTTATTGGTAGAAATTATTCTATCTATTGGCAAATCGGGTTTTGCTATCAACTTCGACGCTCTTGAAATCAAAGTTCCTTCTGTTCAACGACAAAGCGGTGGTATAGACTGCGGACTTTTCGCTATTGCGTTTGCGTATGAGTTAGCGTCAGGAAATGAGCATACCATACAAAGCGGCATGTTGTAAAAGACGGACTGGACTGGACTGGACTGGACCGAACTGGACTGGACTGGACCGAGAAAACGCGGACTGAGTCCGTGTTTTACAAATCGCGGACTGAATTTGTAAAACACGGACTGGACTGGACTGGACCGGGAAAACACGGACTGAGTCCGTGTTTTACAAATCGCGAACTAAGATTTGTAAAACGCGGACTGAGTCCGTGTTTTACAAATCGCGGGCTGCAATTTGTAAAACACGGACTGGACTGGACTGGACCGGGAAAACACGGACTGAGTCCGTGTTTTACAAATCGCGAACTAAGATTTGTAAAACGCGGACTGAGTCCGTGTTTTACAAATCGCGGGCTGCAATTTGTAAAAGGCGGACTCATTTCCTGAATGCACTAAGGATGAACGGTCGCATTAAAGTATTGTCTATTCTCATAACAAAGTTCAATGTTTTTACCGAGAAAGTTCAATGTTTTTGATGATCATTTATGATCATTTGGTGGTTTCAAAGCTTGGATCTGGTTCTTCAACAGATTAAAATCAGATCAAAACCTGTCAAGTGCTCTTGGCAAACATCGAAGATTCTCACGCGAATAGGCAATATTTTTTTATGAACGACCGTTCATCCTGCAAGCGACGGTACACGGACTCAGTCCTGTACTGACTCAGTCGTAAAAGTTTAGGCGGGAATTGCACTCAGTCGTGAGAGTTTTGGCGGGAATTGCGGATAATAGGTCGGTCAAGGAATAATCATATCCTGGACCTATTAGGTTGGTATAAATTACTATTATTTATTTAGTGTTTTGAATAAACAGATATTTAATAGCGTTCAATCTTAGGAACACGCTCAGTCATGTGGGACTTTGTGCCACTATTGTCGAGGAAACTCATGCGTATATCAAATGTGGCCGTTTCACATGTAAATATAGTTGTATTCCTGTATAGATATAGCTCTTATAGCAGATATACCATTTAGTGTTAATCATAATTAGACGAAAATAGAGTTAATTCGTTTATTTTGTGTTCGTGGGGAAGAGGGCGTATTAAATAAAGGTGTTTACAAATTTGCGAGAAATATGAAATGAATACTGTAATCGAATTTACCTTTCAAATATTTGTGTTATTAAGTCTATTAAACGGGGAAACTCTCGCAGGCCATCAAAACATCAAAGGTGGTGTTGTGAATGTTGTGCATATAAATTACAATAAATTTAAATTTCTTAACTCAGTATTGTTGTCGTACGAGGAAGTTTCTAAAAATCGTTATTGGATTATAGTATTCATTTCGCATATTTCTCGCAAATTTATATATACACTCGTTTTCAAAATTACTCGACCTCCCTGAAAAATATACTATTTAAATACTTCAAATGTCAGTTTTATGTCACAAAAACTGCTAAAATTAGCAAACGTAAACAAACTGTCAAAAGGCGTATTTAATACCAAAACTGAACAAAAATTAGTTAGATAACTTAGATATACAAACTAAACCACAATACAAACCATCACAACAGAAATATATGTCGTGAATAACTTTTAAAGTTTGAAAACTAACAATTTATCCTGGAATTTTAAGCTGTCAGTATAAAACACGCGCGCTAGACTATAACGGTGACGTTTATAATTATATGATTTTGTTTGTGCTTAAATTTTGCAATAATTCGCACTAAAATATCTTGAAAATCATTGTAAGCCTATTTATATAAAGCATAATAAGCATACATATCGACAAGGAACGGGAAAACTCAAAGTTTAAACCGGTTCGTGACCGAATGACATAACTGACATGTCAACTCTAGAGGGTCCTGAAGGGGGGCTCCCAATCCCATTTCCCACCTGAAATTTTGGCAAAATCCCAGTCCCAGTTGGATTTTTATTAGAAATCCCAGTCAATAAAAACCCCTTTATTTATCGGTAGAATAAACAGTTTTAAGACCTTTTAAGCCAGCGTGTGTGCAAGTGGCGGACACTTTATGAAATATTGGGGAGGGGGCTCGTGCCGAAGGCAGGGAAAATTTTTAAATTTGAATCCCGGAAATGACATTTGCAGCATTCTGAGAGACGCATAATCAGAAAACCCAGAATTGCGGGCGCCAGTGTATGCCTGTTCGCAGGTAGTGCTGTGAATAATATAGTTAACAACAAAAATCATGACCAAAGACACCAAAAACGGATCAAAATTGTATTTTAAAATACTTAAAACGTAGAAAAATTGAGAATTGACTGGCATTACCTCAATCCCATTCCCATTTTTGAGGACTTCGTTTCCCATTCCCAGTGGCCAAATCCCAGTCCCAGCAACCCAAATCCCATTTTCCCAGTCTAAAAATAGATCAATCCCAGTTCCCATTTTACCCCTTCAGGACCCTCACTCTAGCATTTTCGTCCTTGGTCGCGTAATTTTGAAAACGGGTGTAATATACACCCTCTTCGCCACAAACACAAAATAAATCTGCTATAAGAGCTACATCCAGGGGCTCCAACTAGCCCCTTTTAATTCGGGGGGTGTCTGCCAATTCCGTGTTAAAACATGGCTTAAACCCTTATTTTTGGACCAATATAAATTCTATAAATTCCCTCTGAAAGCCCTGTAAATTACTTAACTCTACATTCTATCATTTGAAATCTTTGATTGCCGTGCCAATCCACATGATTC